TGCAAGTGTTGCTTGAATCACGAGCATGTCAAAACCGGTAGAATTGGCGAGTGTTTAGAGAACCCACTTCAGTCCCAATTGAGGCAAGGCCTTGTTCTTCTCTTAACGTCAGAAGACGAGGAAACTGTAACAAACGATGTTTTTGCGACATTTCCGCCATCCCAACGATTTTTAGATTGTTGTACTCGCTTCATAAGGCGTCTTCCGCACTGGCGAAGTTCGTTTCCGCTATGGAGAAGCACTAGGCTTGGCAGCATCAGAGTCAGCAGTACTGCGACATCATTTCCACACCACCCATATCACGCCGATTCCATGCCCATACTAAGCCTGACAAGGAAGCGGGGCATTTATCTGTTGAGACATTCCTGGCCCCAAAACTGCACTTAACACTGAATCCTGAGGAATAGGTATCCATTAGTAACGTTATGCTCGAAGCTGGGTAGCGTCGATAAAGCGGAGGGAGACAGGGAGAACCACTATGGGATTGCCTGTGCAATATTCCGCACCAACCATAATCCTTCAAAACGAGACTTGAAGCCGCTATAAACCACAACCGAATGAACCAGCCCCGAGGTCTTGGGGATGCTTTCTCCACTTGCAGCATTCCTTGTGGTAAGCCAAGGCAGCAGCACTGAACACTAGCCTAGGTTCAGGTATTGTGACTACAGTGACTGAGCAGCACATATCCTCCTAGCGTACGCAGCTACTTCCAATCAAAATCTTTATTAAAATTCTACGGCTGGTGTATATTCAGAGCTACCCTTATACACTCTTGTAGTTAGTTACCGAATCGGCGATTGAGCTCACACAACTCAACACACAATACACAACGCCCAATGCAAACAGCTCAAACAATTCATTTAAATTGTTACTTTAGTAGATAAATTAGCCGAGTCTATACAGCCGGCATAAAGCTTGAGATATATTTCACGGTTATTTCATGGTTATTCTACGATAAACTTAAGCCAAGAAGCGCAATTTTTTAAAAAAGGCGCTGGAAGGTGCGGTAGTGCATGAAGGCATTAGCCAATAAAAAGCAAATATGAGCCAATACTCACCGGTGATTGGGTAAGAGCATTCTAGAATTACACACGCATCGTCAGATTGTTCTGGAATCACGTGAAGATCGAATAAAAAAGGAGGTGAGGTGCGTCACGGGTCTCTGCAATCGTTGCGTTGTTGCATTGTTAGTCGTTTTTAAGATCTGGTTTCAACTGCGTTTTTCTTGTGTTTTCCTACAATCTCAGATAATGTCAAAAAGTCCGGCTGTGGGT